CTAAAAGTCTATTTGTTTGTTTTGTTGCAAATTCTAATTTGAGTAGCAAAATTCCTCTTTTCATAATGCGTATTTCATAGACGTAGTGAGGTAAAATTTCATGTGATTCAGTAAAGTAAAAAGAACATAAATTCCATTATTGCTAAATATATTCATGTGATTCGATGAAGAATGACAGCAAATCATGGGATATTTTCTATAAAATAAAAAAGGGGTAATCAAAAATGCTTGGGGTTGGGAATGAAGGAATGTCTACACTACCGGGATTGAATCAAATACAATTTGAAGGGTTTTGTAGATTCATTGATCGGGGCTTAACAGAAGAACTTTTGAAGTTTCCAAAAATTGAAGATACAGATCAAGAAATTGAATTTCAGTTATTTGCGGAAACATATCAATTGGTAGAACCCTCAATAAAAGAAAAAGATGCTGTATATGAATCACTTACATATTCCTCTGAATTATATATACTCCGCGGGAGTAATTTGGAAAAACAGTCAGGATATCCAAGAACAAATTATTTTTATTGGAAACATTCCTCTAATGAATTCCCTGGGAACTTTTATAGTAAATGGAATATACAGAATTGTAATCAATCAAATATTGCAAAGCCCCGGTATCTATTATCGGTCAGAATTGGACCATAACGGAATTTCAGTCTATACTGGCACAATAATATCAGATTGGGGAGGAAGATTAGAGTTAGAAATTGATAGAAAAGCAAGGATATGGGCTCGTGTAAGTAGGAAACAGAAAATATCTATTCTAGTTCTATCATCAGCTATGGGTTCGAATTTAAGTGAAATTCTTGAGAACGTTTGTTACCCCGAAATTTTCTTGTCTTTCCTCAATGAAAAGGAGGAAAAAAAAATAAGGTCAAAAGAAAATGCCATTTTGGAGTTTTATCGACAATTTGCTTGTGTAGGCGGAGATCCCATATTTCCTGAATCTTTATGTACGGAATTACAAAAAAAATTTTTTCAACAAAGATGTGAATTAGGAGGAATTGGGCGGCGAAATATGAACCGAAGGCTGAATATTGATATACCCGAGAACAATACATTTTTGTTACCGCGAGATATATTGACAGCTGCGGATCATTTGATTGGAATGAAATTTGGAATGGGTACACTTGACGATATGAATCATTTGAAAAATAAACGTATTCGTTCCGTAGCAGATCTCTTACAAGATCAATTTGGATTGGCTCTCGTTCGTTTAGAAAATCTAATTATAGGAACTATATGTGGAGCAATTAGATATAAATTGATACCGACTCCTCAGAATTTAGTGACTTCAACGCCATTAACAACCACTTATGAATCTTTTTTTGGATTACATCCATTATCTCAAGTTTTAGATCAAACCAATCCATTGACCCAAATAGTTCATGGAAGGAAATTGAGTTCTTTGGGTCCTGGAGGATTGACGGGGCGAACTGCTAGTTTTCGGATACGGGATATCCATCCTAGTCACTATGGACGCATTTGTCCAATTGACACCTCTGAAGGAATCAATGTCGGACTTATTGGATCCTTGGCAATTCACGCAAGGATTGGTCGTTGGGGGTCTATAGAAAGTCCATTTTATGAAATTTCTGAGAGATCAAAAAGAATACGAATGCTTTCTTTATCACCAAGTAGAGATGAATACTATATGGTAGCGACGGGAAATTTTTTAGCACTGAATCGAGGTATTCAGGAGGAGCAGATTGTTCCAGCTCGATACCGTCAAGAATTTCTTACTATTGCATGGGAACAGGTTCATCTTCGAAGTATTTTTCCCTTCCAATATTTTTCTATTGGAGCTTCCCTCATTCCTTTTATCGAGCATAATGATGCGAATAGAGCTTTAATGAGTTCTAATATGCAACGTCAAGCAGTTCCTCTTTCTCGGTCCGAAAAGTGCATTGTTGGAACTGGATTGGAACGCCAAGTGGCCTTAGATTCGGGAGTTCCCGCTATAGCCGAACACGAGGGAAAGATCGTTTATAATGATACTGAGAAGATTATTTTATTTGGAAGTGGGAATGGTCTAAGTATTCCATTAATTATATATCAACGTTCCAACAAAAATACTTGCATGCATCAAAAATCCCAGGTTCAGAAGGGTAAATGCGTAAAAAAGGGACAAATTTTAGCAGATGGTGCTGCTACAGTTGGTGGTGAACTCGCTTTGGGAAAAAACGTATTAGTAGCTTATATGCCATGGGAAGGTTACAATTCTGAAGATGCTGTACTCATTAGTGAGCGTCTGGTCTATGAAGATATTTATACTTCTTTTCACATACGGAAATATGAAATTCAGACTCATGTGACAAGCCATGGTCCTGAAAGAATCACTAATAAAATTCCACATCTAGAAGCGCATTTACTCCGAAATTTAGACAAAAATGGAATTGTAATTCTGGGATCTTGGGTAGAAACGGGCGATATTTTAGTGGGTAAATTAACGCCTCAAATGGCAAAAGAATCCTCATATGCCCCGGAAGATAGATTATTACGAGCTATACTTGGGATTCAGGTATCCACCTCAAAGGAAACTTGTCTAAAACTACCTATAGGTGGTAGGGGCCGAGTTATTGATGTGAGATGGCTCCACAAAAAAGCGGATTCTAGCTATAATCCAGAAACAATTCATATATATATTTCACAGAAACGTGAAATCAAAGTAGGTGATAAAGTGGCCGGGAGACATGGAAATAAAGGTATCGTTTCAAAGATTTTGTCTAGACAGGATATGCCTTATTTGCAAGATGGAAGACCCGTTGATATGGTCTTCAATCCATTAGGGGTCCCTTCTCGAATGAATGTAGGACAGATATTAGAATGTTCGCTCGGATTAGCTGGGAGTATGCTAAATAGACATTATCGAATAGCACCTTTTGATGAGAGATATGAACAAGAGGCTTCCAGAAAACTTGTGTTTTCTGAATTATATGAGGCCAGTAAAGAAACATCGAATCCATGGATATTTGAACCCGAGTATCCGGGAAAGAGCAGAATATTTGATGGAAGAACGGGGAATCCTTTTGAACAGCCCGTTATAATAGGAAAGCCTTATATCTTGAAATTAATTCATCAAGTTGATGATAAAATACATGGACGTTCCAGTGGACCTTATGCACTTGTTACACAACAACCCCTTAAAGGAAGGGCCAAACAAGGAGGACAACGGGTAGGCGAAATGGAAGTTTGGGCCCTCGAGGGATTCGGTGTTGCTCATATTTTACAAGAGATGCTTACTTATAAATCTGATCATATTAAAGCTCGTCAAGAAGTACTTGGAACTACAATTAGTGGAGGAACAATACCGAAACCTGTGGATGCTCCAGAATCTTTTCGATTGCTCGTTCGCGAACTACGATCTTTGGCTCTGGAACTGAATCATTTCCTTGTCTCTGAGAAAGACTTTCAGATTCAAAGGAAGGAAGTTTAATTGGACTGAATCCGAAATTTTATTTTATGATTGATCAGTATAAACATCAACACCTTCGAATTGGATCAGTTTCCTCTGAACAAATAAGTGCTTGGGCAAAAAAAATCCTACCTAATGGAGAAACAGTTGGGGAGGTAACAAAACCCTATACTCTTCATTATAAAACCAATAAGCCTGAAAAAGATGGATTATTTTGTGAAAGAATTTTTGGGCCTATAAAAAGTGGGATTTGTGCTTGTGGAAATTATCGAGTAATCGGAGATAAAAAAGACCAACCTCAATTTTGTGAACAATGCGGAGTAGAATTTGTTGATTCTCGGATACGTAGATATCAAATGGGGTATATCAAATTAGCATGTCCAGTAACCCATGTGTGGTATTTGAAACGTCTTCCTAGTTATATCGCGAGCCTTTTAGATAAACCTCTTAAAGAATTAGAGGGTCTAGTATACTGCGATGTGTGATTTGATAAAAATTCTTATTGTACAGATTTCGAATGAAAAACTGTCATTCCATTCAATTAAATTGGAATGTCCTATATCTGGCATGTCTCTTGGGATGAGTAACATGAAGCTCAGAATTCAATTCATGGGTGTATTGAATACTCCCAATAAGGGAGTTGGTCTATGGTCAATTCAGTAACAAAAAACTCTTTATACTGTATGTACCTTGTGAAAAAAAAAATACTTTTTTGTGGAATTCATTATTCCATCTCTTTTTTTTTTTTTTATTTTAAAAGAACTAAAATTATGTTCAAAGAATAAAATATATCATGATTGCAGAAGTTTATCTATCGCATATAGGCTTTAAGACATCGTGGCATACCCGTCGAGGTGACGTCTTGACCTAAAAGATCAAACGGTATGATACAGAGACAAAGAAATCTCTTATGAAGTCGAAGATATTCCTTTTTTATTAAGAATTTCATTTTAGAGGATTCCTCGTTCGAAGGGAGGTAGACTACTCAAGAATTTTACATTTTATTTCTGTCGGAATTTCGAATTGCATAAAAAATTCAGAAAAACCGAAGAATGTATCAATGAAATGTTGCTTGGTCTTTATTGATAACTTGAGTCAAGAGTAAACCTTTTTTATTTTATATTTTAGATTAGAGGTTTTCAAAAATATGAAAGCGGAAACCCCTTTCTTTATCTTTAATTGTGTGTAAATACTTTAGCCGGATGAGAGGAAACCCTCATGTCCGATTTTCAAAGGGGGAGATCCATCTTATTGGATCCTATCCAAATTTTTCTTTTGCTAGGCCCGTAGTTAAAAAACCAACTTTCTTACGATTACGAGGTTCATTCGACTATGAAATCCAATCCTGGAGATACAGTCTCCCACTCTTTTTTGCTACTCAAGGTTTGGATACATTTCGAAATAGAGAAATTTCTAGTGGAGCGGGTGCTATACGAGAACAATTAGTTGATCTGGATTTAAGAATGATTATGGATTCTTCGTTGCTAGAATGGACAGAATTAGGAGAAGAGGGGTCCACTGACAATGAAAATGAATGGGAAGATCAAAAAGTTGGAAGAAGAAAGAATTTTTTGGTTCGACGCATGGAATTAGCTAAGCATTTTATCCGAACAAATATAGAACCAGAATGGATGGTATTATGTCTCTTACCAGTGCTTCCTCCCGAATTGAGACCAATTATTCAAATAGATGGCGGTAAACTAATGAGTTCGGATATTAATGAACTCTATAGAAGAGTTATCTATCGGAACAATACTCTTATTGATCTATTAACAACAAGTAGATCTACACCAGAGGAATTAGTAATGTGTCAAGAAAAATTGGTACAAGAAGCCGTGGATACACTTCTTGATAATGGAATCCGCGGACAACCAATGAGGGACGGTAATAATAAAGTTTACAAATCGTTTTCCGATATAATTGAGGGCAAAGAGGGAAGATTTCGAGAGACTCTTCTTGGAAAACGAGTTGATTATTCGGGGCGTTCTGTTATTGTCGTAGGTCCATCACTTTCATTACATCGATGTGGATTGCCCCGCGAAATAGCAATAGAGCTATTTCAGACGTTTCTAATTCGTGGTTTAATTCAAAACCATTTTGCTTCGAACATAGGAGTTGCTAAGAGGAAAATCCGGGAAAAAGAACCCATTGTATGGGAAATACTTCAAGAAGTTATGCGGGGGCATCCAGTATTGCTGAATAGAGCGCCTACTTTGCATAGATTGGGCATACAGGCATTTCAACCCATTTTAGTCGAAGGACGTGCTATTTGTTTACATCCATTGGTGTGTAAGGGATTCAATGCAGACTTTGATGGGGATCAAATGGCTGTTCATGTGCCTTTATCTTTGGAGGCTCAAGCAGAAGCTCGTTTACTTATGTTTTCTCATACGAATCTCTTGTCTCCGGCTATTGGGGATCCCATTTGTGTACCAACTCAAGATATGCTTATTGGACTTTACGTATTAACTAGCGGAAATCGTCGAGGTATTTGTGCAAACAGGTATAATTCGTTTAATTCCCGAAATTCTCACAATGAAAAAATTAGCAATAATAACTTGAAGTATATGAAAAAAAAAGAACCCTTTTTTTGCAATTCCTATGATGCAATTGGAGCTTATAGACAGAAAAGAATAAATTTCGATAGTCCTTTTTGGCTCCGGTGGCGAATAGATCAATGCATTATGTCTTCAAGAGAAGTTCCTATCGAAGTTCACTATGAATCTTTTGGTACCTATTATGAGATTTATGGGGATTATTTAGTAATAAGAAGTATAAAAAAAGAAATTCGTTGTATATACATTCGAACCACTATTGGTCATATTTCTTTTTATCGAGAAATCGAAGAAGCTATACAAGGTTTTTCTCGAGCCGATTCATATGGTATCTAATCATATAAATGGTTAGTGTTGGTATCCACGCTAAGTCAATTTATGATACTGGTGTAAATTCAGGTCAACTAGCATCTTTTCAATTTTCTACGTGAATAAACATAAAGAAAAGGAAGTTTTCCAATCATTAACTCAAATCCATTGTCGAACCGAATAACACTGAGTGGAATATGGAGGTACTTATGGCAGAACGGGCCGATCTAGTCTTTCACAATAACGTGATAGGTGGAACTGCCATTAAACGACTTATTAGCAGATTAATAGATCATTTCGGAATGGCATATACATCACACATCCTAGATCAAGTAAAGACTCTAGGATTCCATCAAGCTACTGCTACATCTATTTCATTAGGAATTGATGATCTTTTAACAATACCTTCAAAAGGATGGCTAGTCCAAGATGCTGAACAACAAAGTTCCATTTTGGAAAAACATAATCATTATGGAAATGTCCATGCGGTAGAAAAATTACGCCAATCCATTGAAATATGGTATGCTACAAGCGAATATTTGCGACAACAAATGAATTCCAATTTTAGGATGACTGACCCCTTTAATCCAGTCCATATCATGTCTTTTTCAGGAGCTAGAGGAAATGCATCTCAAGTGCACCAATTAGTCGGAATGAGAGGATTAATGTCAGATCCACAAGGACAAATGATTGATTTACCCATTCAAAGCAATTTACGTGAAGGACTGTCTTTAACAGAATATATAATTTCTTGCTACGGAGCCCGTAAAGGGGTTGTAGATACTGCTGTACGAACATCAGATGCTGGATATCTTACACGTCGACTTGTTGAAGTGGTTCAACACATTGTTGTACGGCGAACAGATTGCGGTACCATCCGTGGGATTTATGTAAACACCCGAAATGGAATGATGCCAGAAAGAATTTTGATACAAACATTAATTGGTCGTGTAGTAGCAGACGATATATATATAGGTTCACGGTGCATTGTCGTTAGAAATATTGGAATTGGACTTATCAATCGATTCATAACTTTTCAAACACAACCAATATTTATTCGAACCCCCTTTACCTGTAGGAATACGTCTTGGATCTGCCGATTGTGTTATGGGCGGAGTCCTATTCATGGGGACCTGGTAGAATTGGGAGAAGCTGTAGGGATTATTGCTGGTCAATCTATTGGAGAACCGGGAACTCAACTAACATTAAGAACTTTTCATACTGGTGGAGTATTCACAGGGGGTACTGCTGAATATGTGCGAGCCCCCTCGAATGGAAAAATAAAATTTAATGAGGATTTAGTTCACCCTACACGGACACGTCATGGATATCCTGCTTTTATATGTAATATAGACTTCTATGTAACTATTGAAAGTGACGATATTATACATAACGTCATTATTCCACCAAAAAGTTTTCTATTAGTTCAAAATAATCAATATGTAAAATCAGAACAAGTGATTGCGGAGATCCGCGCGGGAACATCTACTTTAAATTTGAAAGAGAGGGTTCAAAAACATATTTATTCTGACTCAGAAGGGGAAATGCATTGGAGTACCGATGTGTACCATACATCACAATTTATATATAGTAATGTACATATCTTACCAAAAACAAGTCATTTATGGATATTGTCAGGAAAGTCGTGCAGGTCTAATACAATCCATTTTTTACTTCGCAAGGATCAAGATCAAGTTACCATGGATTCACTTACTTTCTAATGGAAAAACAAATATTTCGAATCTTTTAGAAAGGAATGATCAAGTAAAACATAAATTCAATACTTTTGGTACAAAAGAAAAGTGGATTAGCGATTCTCAATATTGAATCCTAATCATATGTACAGATCATTCTGATTTAATGTATCCTGCTATTTTGAACGATACTTTTATTTCTTGGCGAAAAGGCGAAGAAATAGATTTCTTAATCCATTTCCATTCAATCGATTCAAGAACGAAAGAACGAACTAATGTCCCCTTCCGGTGTCTCCATTGAAATACCTATCAATGGTATTTTCATGAAAATAGTATTTTTGCTTATTTCAATGATCCTCATACATAAGACAGAGTTCAAGGAATTACTAAATATACAACTATAGGAATTCATTCTATTTTTCAAAATGAAGATTTCAGTGAGTATCAAGGAATCGAAGAAGTAAAGCCAAAATACCAAATTCAGTAGATAAAATTTTTTTTTATTCCCGAAGAAGTGCATATTTTACCCGAATCTTCTTCCCTAATGGTACGGAATAATAGTCTTGTTGGAATAGGAACACCAATCACTTTCAATATAGAGTCGAGTAGGCGGATTGGTCCGATTAGAAAAGAAAAAAAAAAAAAATAGAATTAAAAATATTTTCTGGAAATATCCATTTTCCCGGAGAGATGGATAGATATCCCGACACAGTGCCATCTTGAGACCGCCCGGAACGGTAAAAAAAAAAAAATGCAAGGAATCAAAAAAAATTTAAAAATTGGATTTATGTCCAATGGATCGCAACTACCAAGAAAAAGTATTTTGTTTGGTTCGACCTGTAATTTTATATGAAATACCGGACAGTATCAATTTTGTAAAACTTTTTCCCCAAGATCTATTCCAGGAAAAGGATAATCTGGAACTAACAAGTTGTCCAATTATATTCTTTATGGAAATGGAAAATCCATTCGGGGAATTTCCGACACAAGGATTCAATTAGTTCGGACTTGTTTAGTCTTCAATTGGGATCACGGGAAAAAAAGTTCTTCTATTGAGGGAGGCCCCCGCTTCCTTATTGAAGTAAGTACAAATGGTTTGATTGAGTATTTTCTAAGAATTGACTAGTCAAATCTAATACTTCATATATTAGAAAAAGAAATGACCCGTCTGGTTTAGGATTGATCAGGGATAATCAATCGGATCGAATCAATCCCTTTTTTTCTATTCATTCCAAGGGAAAAATTCAACAATCACTTAGCCAAAATCACGGAACTATTCGTATGTTGTTGAATAAAAAGAAAGAATGCCGATCTTGGATAATTTTGTCATCATCTATTGTTTTCAAATGAGGACCATTCAACAATGTTAAATATCACAATGGAAATAAAAAAAGATCCTATAATTTCAATTAATAATAATAATTCGTTCGGCCCTTTAGGAATAGCCCTTCAAGTTGCGATTTTTATTCACTTTATCATTTAATAACTCATAATAAGATCTCAATCATTAAAAATTTGCAACTTGACAAATTCACTGAAATTTTTCAAGTATTAAATATTATTTAATGGACGGAAAATTGAGAAAATTTTAAAACCCGATCTATACAGTAATATTGTTTTGAATCCATTCCATTTGAATTGGTTTTTTCTCCATCATTTTAATTGTGAAAAAACGTTTACAATAATAAGTCTTGGACAATTGATTTGTGAAAATATATGTATAGCTAAAATGAAAAAATGGACCACACCTAAAACTAAAATCGGGTCAAGTTATAACAGTTCAAATGGATTCTGTAATAATAAGATTGGCTAATCCTTATTTGGCGACTCCAGAAGCAACCATTCAACGGCCATTATGGGGAGATCCTTTCTCAAGGAGATATTTTAGTTACATTCATATATGAAAAATCGAGATCCGGTGATATAACACAAGGTCTTCCAAAAGTGGAACAGATATTAGAAATACGTTCGATTGATTCAATATCCATGAATCTAGAAAAAAGAATTGATGCTTGGAACGGAGTGTATAACAAAAATTCTCGGCATGCCTTGGGGATTCTTGATTGGTGCTGAGCTAACTATAGCGCAAAGTCGTAGTTCTTTGGTTAATAAAATCCAAAAGGTTTATCGATCCCCAGGGAGTACATATCCATAATAGACATATCGAGATTATTGTGCGTCAAATAACATCCAAAGTCTTGGTTTCAGAAGATGGAATGTCTAATGTATTTTTACCTGGCGAACTAATTGGATTAATTGCGAGCAGAACGAATGGGGCGTGCCTTGGAAGAACCCATTTTGTTACCGAGCTTTATTATTGGGAATAACAAAAAACATCTCTGAATACTCAAAGTTTCATATCTGAAGCGAGTTTTCAAGAAACTGCTAGAGTTTTAGCAAAAGCCGCTCTTCGGGGTCGTATTGATTGGTTGAAAGGTCTTAAAGAGAATGTTGTTTTAGGGGGGATGATACCCGTTGGTACCGGATTCAAAAGAATAATGCACCGTTCACGGTCAAGGCAACATAACAAGATTACCCGGAAAAAAAATTATTCGAAGTAGAAAATTAGAAATCTTTTGTTCCATCACAGAAAATTCTTTGATTTTTATCATTTTCAAAGAATTTATGTGATACATTATTAGAAATATAGGATTAAATGGTTCCTAAAAGCGGATTCGACTCAGCCCCTTAAAATCTTAAATGCAGTCATTTGATTTGGTAATAAAGTAGAATAAAAAATATAATAAATAGAAATAAAAGAATGGCCTGATTCTATCTTAACGGCCAATCGTCTATAAAAGAGAAGGTTCCATCGGAACAATTATTTATTGCTATTTCAGGATACTGGGTCTCTCTTTATTTTTTTTCAATTTTTTTTTTTTAAAAAAGTGTGGGGATAAATGACAAAAAG